GCCGTGACGTGGGTTCAAATCCCCTCCACTACTTTTACCTTGGCTACAAAGGGACACCACTTTAATTTCATGACTTCAATTCCCTCCACTGTAACTAAGCAAGTCTCTAATCCATATCCAAAGTACAGCTCTAGTATATCTCTAGACCTTAGTAATAGTCCTTCGACTATTACGTCTCATGATTCCCCTGAAATTGAAAGACTTTGCGTGTGACACGGTTCATCATTGAGAATGTGGTCTACAGAAAAGGAACATCTGCCCTGAGACCACAAAATAAGACAATGGACGTAAATGTTTGTTATTATATCTATCATGAGGGTGATTTAGTTCCATATGGTTCCACTGTGTGGGAGCCGAAACCATTCCAGCAGCCATCAACTCAGTATCTTTCTTTATATATGTCTTTTCATGGACTTATTACATATATATATATATATATATATATATATATATATATATATATATTACCAGACTTTAGTATTATCCACTATTCCTAGCCGGCTTGAGTAAAAGAAACGATAGTGAAACTGAACTGAAGAACCCCAAGACTGCCAAAACTTTCAGATTCCTCAAAGTCATAAAAATTTCTCTGTCTTCGGAATTCAGTATGGGATTTTCTTTTTCCACGACAATAATTTTTTTTTTTTCAGTGACATATTTTGGAAAATCATAAAGCCTCTTTTACACGATAAAATTTAATTCAAGTAAACATTTTTGTAACGATTAATATAGGGATTTAATACTGTAACACTTTTCTCAGATATATTACGCGTAGAAATAATGTTAAGATGCATGAATTTAACGTAACAAATATTGCTCAGAAATAGCCATTATAATGCCAGTTGAAGTACTTATAGCTATGTATTATTAGTAAAACATTCGAACAAAATCAAATCTTCAAGTCTATTTAAACAAAATAATAATCTGTTTCTTGAGACCTTATTACAACCAGCACGAATGCATACCGATCCAGAAATATCTTATTCAGGGAGTACTAGAAAATTGTTCGAGAATTACCTATACATTCTATTATTTGGAATTTGAGTTTAAATTTATGAAGCAATTTATGGAATTGCAAACACATATAAAAAGGCTTTAAAGTTTTCAGTCTAAAATACTACGACTAATTACCCAAGCACCATGGTACGTGAATAACAAAACATTACACACTGACTTACACATACCGACGGTCAATGAAGGCAAACGAACTTACTACAAACGATTTCATAATAAGTTAAACAGACAATCCAACCAGATCAGAAAAGAAATGGCCACAATTATTATACCGGAGAACTTCAAAAGACGACTGGAAAGGATCTGCATGAGGGATCTACTTACATAATGTTTTAGTAAATAAAACCCACGGAAGGGGTATTCTGGGTACTGCTTTTCCTTGTGCCTATCTATCCTTTTTTATATTTTTATTTTGTTTATTATTATTGTTATTTTTTATTTAAAATTAACCAGCACATCTGCTAATTGTCGATAGTTGTAATGAACAAGTGTGAATTAATAAATGAAAGTGCAAAAACAAATTATATATATATAAATCAGCTGTCATTAATCACTTATTTCGTGTGATAAGTTAACGCTGATGAAAAAATCATATAGTTACATGTTTTATAGAGTCAGGTATTCAACAACTTTTAAGGTCCCTTCACACTGAGGGCGATATGTCTTGGTAATACGATATTCTATCGGCGGCGATATGACGATATAGTTGTATTACTATATATTGCATTAAAGCAGTCACACAGAGCGTGATAATCCACCGCGATACAATAAAGGATATCGTATCGCCGGGAAATATAGCATTCTGTTTGAGGCAAACTTAATGCATAAATTTTAACATTATACTTATCACATTTATACTAAATTATACTGGGCAGCAAGATGTCGGATGGCCAAATGACCAACGACTGGCATAAGAAAAAAAAAAAAACATTTATACGATTACATTCATTTTAAATCATTACTATGTTCGTTAGGTCGGTTTAATGATATGATTTCAACTTTTATTTTGTATTTTTTTTTCTATTATTTACCCACTGGACAGTGTAGATTTATTTTAAAATAAGAGTTTTACCGGGAAAAGGTAATACAACAATCGTTTCTGAAGTCCAAAATCCTTTATTGTTAAAGTTTTAGTTATGCTGATTGTATTATTTTATTTCATTGGTATCTTTAAAATTTGTAATTCAATATTTATATTTTAAGAGCTGCACTCAATCTTATCTCATCCGGGGGAGGCTTTTGTCATGAACTAGGCAATAAATCTTTATTAATATCCATTTTAAATTACAAAATAAAAGATTTACTGGTGTAAAGTGATACAACAATCGTTTCTGGATTACAAAATCCTTTATTCTTAAAGTTTAAACCAGATGTTATAGCAGGACTTTGAGATACCTTTTGCAGACAGGAATATCTTGTTGTTGAAAACATATTAAATAAACGTTTGATTATTATTCTTTAAAATATACTCGAGAGAACCAGCTGTCAATGAACGATGTGAGTCATATGTAGTGTATTGGAAGGAAGATTATAGCTAATGATGTAATTATCAGCCTGAACGAGAGGTATAAGATGCGGTAATACCGTTGGTTAACTGCTGGAGTTGCAATTACACAGCTCCCACGGTACAGCCCCACCCCCCGCCTCTCTTGATAGCAGCTCACTTAGCAACATGCTGGTACTAACACTAGCCAGGTTTCTAAAGTACCGTCCATCTCAAAACTAAATTACCAAGAGCAATCCACCCTCATAGAGGCCAATGAATTCAATCTGTCTATAAAGGTCGTAACGAATTGATTACAACTAATGCTACTAATAACTAAACTACTTGAGTTCAACAACGGACTATTGGAATTATTATTAATACTTGGATTCACTAGCGGATCCAGCATTTAATTTTTTTTTTGGGGGGGATTCAGCCCGAAAGTTTTTTTTTTCATATATATAACGGTAATTACTTTGAGAAAATGCTAAGATACTAACTACCTCATGAAATGGTGTTTAAGTGATTCTTGAAGTCATATTAAATGTAATTACACGAATAATAATACTTTAAGAGATATTTTTTTAATGTTTTTACCATAAAACATGGTTACATTTTACCACTTTGGGGAAGAGAGAGGGCTGCTTGCTGTTTAGATGCTTCTTGATGGATTGTCCTGAGCTACATGCACCGTCTATCATATTAAAATTCATTTAAACCATTTTATTTTGTAATTGTGTCTTACGATCTCAACATCAAATAAATCATAATAATAATAAAAAAGCTACAATATTACGTGTATTTTTTTTAAAGTTTACATTTGTTTCAAATGATATATTTTATGTAAAATATTTAAAAATATCTTCCAATATTGTTATATATATATATATATATATATATATATATATATATATATATTTATTTATTTAAAATATTTTCCTCTCCGCTCCTACTCGGTACTCCACAAACTGCTTACGGAAAACGGTCAATTAATATCTCATGATATAATGCAAGGAGCAAGCTTATACACAACGAGTGCCTCAATAAACAAGTAAGAAACCACGTGGGAGGCCAAAAACCAGGTGGTAGACATGAAATAATCAATGAAGAGGAAAAACCTGGCGGTGGGACGTGATCTCGGTCAAATTACCTAGGCGGATCTGAAGGGGGGAGGAGGGAGGTTGAATCCTCCCCATATATAACCTTAGCAAAATATAACCATATCTCATGAAAAAAATATCTCTAAAAGTATTATTGTTCGTGTAATTACATTTAATAGGACTTCAAGAATAACTTGAAAATCATTTCATATAGTTTCTTTATTTTTCTTCCAAAGTAATTATCGTTTTATATGTATGTATATATAAATAAATAAATAAATATATATATATATATATATATATATATATATATATATATATATATATATATATATGTATGTATGTATGTATGTATGTATGTATATATATATATATATGTGTGTGTGTATAAAAAGCTGGGGGCTTCAGCTTCATCCCTAAAATTAAATCCCGGATCTGTTAGTGTTGATCAACAAATAGTCGGTCTTTACAAATTAAGGAACCCAAGACTTGCCTAGGCTAGTAGCGGTACAGATTATATAAATACATATACGTGTAATACATATACACATATATAATATAGCTTTACGATTTGTAAATTTTTTTTAAGACTACATACTAATAATGAATATGCAATAAGTCATATATAGCCAGTGATTGTAGTTTCAAGAAAATTATTTCATTTAGCGCGCGGTACAGATTCCTTTTTTATCAAATTAATTGAGTTAAAACTTCATAAATCGCTTCATCGTACTTGATTTTATCTAAAATCCCAATAAATTGAGAAGCTTGAATTGATGAAATGATGATAATGATGTTTTATTCTGGATCACTTCTCAGAAGTACTAAATTGTAAGATTTCGAAAAATTAAACAAGATTCTATATAGAAAGAAGTATTTAAAATATACATCCAAATAAAAATTGCATTGCATACCACTTACATAATTCGTTAAAATTTAAATGATAGAGAATGGGTTGTTTCTGATACGAAGCTGAGCATATTTAAACAATTAGAAAACAGACTTGTTGGCTCATAGACTGATTGGGCCATATAATGGAAAATTATAGTCTATATTTTGAAAATTAACCTTAATATTATAAAAAAGAGTTTAACGTTGTCGACACTATAGTGAGTTAATAACATAATTAAAATATTGCAAATATATTTAAAAGGGCAACGTAAGATTGGATGCCCAGTTTTATATCATGTTGAAATACTAATTAGGACTATATAATAAGGCATATCGTTTGGAGCAGTGGATGAACAATTGTTGACCGTAACCCTATGGAGCTATTAAAGAGATACCCCTTTAGAATTATCGAAGCTAAAAAAGATATGCTCTATAAAAGTCGGTGGAGAGTAGAAGCTGGGCAGGAGATCGTGACGACCTGGATTCATCCTATCAATCCTGACATTTTCTAGGTCACTCCTGATAGAACTTGTGGCCTTAAGGAGATACCCTCTTCCCAGGATATCTTCGGCGGTGTCGCCGTGCGTCAGTCCTAGGGAGAATGTACAGGAATCTCCGGAGCACCTTCCGGCATACCAAGTGCCTTCTCTTCAGATATTGTACCTCTTCTGCATTCCTTTCCATCACTTTCCTGTCTCCTGCTTTGTGTACTGTGTACGGTGTGCTTGCTCAAACATTGCCAAACGAATACCTGACAAGGCTTTTACCAAACTGTTTATAATAAAATCGAATCGAATTTTGTAATTGTGATATTATTTAAAAAATCATTTATTTTTTAATTATTACTGCGTTTAAGGTTTCAATAAATTACACAATATAATGAATTTACCACCATTTCATTTCTTGATTTTAATAAGGCTTGCCAGTGTTTCATATTCTCCGTTCTAGACGTTTTGAGGTTTTGATGCTATTTATCTTTTCTCTATTCTTTTTGTCATTGATATCAACAGTGATTTCTTTTGTCACTAACTAAAATTATATATATAATTTATATATATATATATATATATATATATATATATATATATATATATATATACACCGATACAATAAATAATAAATATATATATATCATATATATCTATTATTTCAGAAACAATAAAACCTACTTATTTATTTATTTTATTAACGTTACATTTACCGTTTATTAAGCAAGGCTGTAAGCATTATAACATGACCTTACGAAATATAGCAGATGAAAAGAGATCAATCAGTTTGAAAAGAAATTAGGCAATTATATTTACACAGCTTTACGAGAATATCGCTTGTATATATTAATAGCCCTGGAGCCCAAAAATTGACCTCATCACAGGCGAATATTTGATTGTAAATTATGAAAGTATATGTTATTCTGAGTAAAATGAACCTTGTCTGCCGTTACAGAGCCGCTGCATTCAAAAAGAATATTAGGCCAGTAATTCGAGAATAGAAACGGGAAAAATGTGAGAAAATCTTTTTATTTTTTTTAACTTGTATATATGGATTTAGACATGTAAAAACAAAATTTCTAACGCGTGCCACCAAGAGAAAACTTTTTACTGCCAAAAAAGTCAGATTTTTTAGACATTTGTTTGTTTGGTTTTTCGCCTATAACTCCTAAACAATGCGTCAAAGCGAAAAATGTACTATTTAATAAATTAAAGAGCGTTAAATTGTACGTCGAACAAGTACATGAACTTAATAATTTGGTTACTTGGTAAGGTATAAGAGCACGGTCAATCAACGCTGATGATTACAAAATTTGTCCAAAACTGAGACAAATAACTATAAATGGCCCTGTGACTTGGAAATGAGTTTCCTAAGAGGAAAAACCCATAGAATCAAAGTTTTAGAGCATCAAATTTCGTTCTGTAAGTGCAAGTACAATTGTTTAAACATGTTAGGGTCTACTAAAAGGAGGTGTATAATTTTTCATGACGGAATGAATTCGATATCGCGTTTGTCTGTAGTTAATTCCATGAGACGAACATTAAATATATATTACCTTTGATTCGATTACGAAGAAACTACTTTCAGGAATTGTACGGGTTGCTACCTACATGTGCCCAAATCATGTTACCGAATTCGCTGACTGCAAAAATGTATTTTCCTTGACACGCCTATATTTAAAAGATGGCTCAAACCGATTTGGCGCAAAACTAGAGGAAAGTTGAGGACTAATGTACAAATGGTATCGTGCTAATTTCGCCAAACTATACCAACAACGTTTGTTTATGCATTCTCAATTTTTTTTTTCTGATCAGTCTATATTACAGAAACGGTTCATGCAATATATTTTATTATCATAACAAAAACATTGACCTCAAAAGATAATTATGTACTCAATATAAATGGTTAGGAAGGTAAACTTACTTTGCGTGGTAGTTTATTTTATCCTCATTTAACACCAGATATAATTTTTTTTCATACTTTCATCAACGTCGTTGTAATTAATTTTCCGCATCTTCGATTATAATAACCAAACAAGCAGTGGGATACTTGATCTTACCACCCATTACTGAACTTCAAGAGTAACAACCTTCAAGAGTAACCCATTTAATGATAGGCCAAGTAAGTAAGCAGGGCAAGCATGTATTAACAGCTTACTTTTCTGAATCAGGACGATTTTAAATGAGGATATAAGAAGTTTTAAAAATACAAAAATGTTCGAAAAGTGATGGCAATTTTTTATTCTTCCGTTACACTGAGTAGACGGTTGTAAAAGAAAAGAAATCGGCAATCAATGAAACGGAAGTAAGATCACATAGAAAGAAAAAGAAAGTTATCCATTCTTCAGTAAAAGATAGATGGACAAATGTGGAGCGTGAAATGTTCAGGAGGGTAACTGCGCATTAGAGCGGGGAAACTCTTACTTCACAATATCATCATATCTTTTTTTTATTTAATATATTTTAGGGCAAAGGTCACTAATAAAATACCTTTTTACTGTATACAAGACTTGAGTGAACTGATAGTAAAGTTACACCAGGCTTAATGTATTCTACAAACTAGAAATCATAACGAAATTCCCTGAAATACAAGGGACCCCTGACCCCTATTCCCTGATGTATGACGGGACGAAATATGCAATAAATGATATATTAAAAGTTTTTCATGAAATGGTGCATGATCGATTCTTGAAAATGGCTCAAGAAGCCGTAATGTAAGAAAATAAATAAATAAGGTAAAAATGTATTTTATGGGGAACCTGTAGCTAAAATCTATTAAATAAAAACATTAAAAGAATCGCACCGAACTCAAAAATATTACAAGAAAGTTGTCATCATGTCATTTTCTTATCAGTAAGTTGTCATATTTGAAAAAAATAAACAATAAAAAAATATTTATGAACTATTAATGCAATATTACCTGAATCATATTTGTGTACTTTCAATAATTTAAAAATAATTTTATTAATGAAACATTAAAATATTCATGGTCTTAATTGAATCGGTTATTTCAGAAACTGTGTTATTCACAATAATATTTCCAAGAATATTTTTGATCAAAATATGATATTTGGACATTAAAATGCTGATATACCAAATAACCTTTATAAGATATGAATTAATAAAAATAAAAATGTTTAGGCAATCTATTATTTACCATAATTTAAGGATTATCTTCAACTTGGGCAGTTGGGTAAGTAAAGATGTTTTGATGAAACGGGATTTGCTCTTCGAGAATGCTATCCAAAACTAGCTTTAAAACGCCCATTTTTTTTTTCTCTCCATTAATTAGTAATTTCAAAACACTTGGTTTCTGCTAATAAAGTGACACATGAGTTGAGAACATTTTCATCAAGTTGAACGAATCTCTAATCCATTCATCAATACACGGGTGCCCATCCCCTCCCTAAGGTCGATGGTGCAAAAATCTCCTTCCAAGATATTCTATTGCTCTCCTCAGTGCATTAAAAACAGTGCAATCGTAATTTATTTAAAAATCATAGCCCATAAACTATTACACTTTCAGTGTTCTGTTCTTTATCTTTCCCTTGTTCCTTAGTTTGAAACCATTCATTTCAATAATTCATAATTCATCCAAAATACATGATGACTAATCTGTTTTTTTGTTTTTAAAGTAAAGTCAATCACCATTTATTTAATTAGACATCTTACGTTTTCATTTATTTGATTGCAATAGTTGAGCTGGAGTTAGAAGTTTTCTTTTGGAAGACCTACCATCAGGTATTGGATGCAAGAACTGCGATAATCCAACGACGTATTTTGTTTAAGACTATTTATTAATATTTAAAAAGGAAAGAATGTATTGGTTATTTTGCTTAAGTTATGAGTCTACCTTTAAAGACACGATCGCAAAAAAGTGGAAAAGTGTTGTTTGGAAAAGTGTTGGATTACGTAGTTTTGAAAATATCGATTCAATTGAATATCTAAAAACAGAAAAAAAATCTATTGTAGTATTTGTAATATTGGTTATTTATTTATCCATTATTTATTAATTTTTTTATTAGAAATATATAAAGTCATAAGCTAACCAGATAAACTGATCAACTGCTGTCTCAATACATTCCATCGTAGAACTAAATAATTTTAAGGATATGTGGTTAAATCAAAAAGAGCAAACATATTTCATTAAGAAAGGTAAACCATAAAGAAATCAATTGAGGTTTTTAACAGCATTTAAATTTACTTTTACGCAATTATTTTTCGTGCGAGATATTAGTATGGAATAATTCTATTAAATCACTTTCTTTGACATTCACTGAGACCACACGGAGAACAAATAAATCTGGTTTTGGTTCGGTTAGATTCCTGAGGTTGGAGAACAGTACAATCATGAGGACAGCCGCAATATAAAATTTCATTTAGGATATTGGAATGCCATCCTATTAGAAATAACCATGTATCAGTTCCTATCAACCTCTGAAAGTTTAAATTTAAATTATTTTATTATTTCTGCCATTTTATTAAGCATCCATCAGCTGTGGATCGAAACTGGTTTGGAAAATACTAGCATATGGAACACCCATTCTATATGAAATTGGTACCCTTGATGTTGGGAAAACTTGGCTGCTTGTCTGTCAAAGCTCTTCATCATTTTTTTTGTTTTGTTTTTCTTAAGTATAAATTGTTTACTTATTAATATTACTTTCCAAAAAAGTTCAAATAATGATTTTCTCAGCTGCGTTTTGTGATCATATGACATCGCGTTTAGAAAAATATCATAAACTAACGTAAACCTTTTAACTGATTTTTGATATGAGTCAGGATAGGTTTAATTTTAATTTACAAAATTCATTTTGATTTCAATGAACAGGATAAAGGTCATTTTCCAGAGAAGAAAAAACATCTAAGCACATATAATTCAGTTCCATGAAGCATTTCGGAGTTTGATTTATTGCCAAAAATTAATTACGATTTCGGCGCAAAACTTTATTTTTGATGGAAAATCAAGGCTGATATATACTTATACTTTTAACGAGTATATTTGCACTTTTACGAGGTTTTCTCGGTGACTCTTAAAAAAGTAATATCGTTGGAAGGCAAATAACATCTCTATACTTCTTCAATCTATAAAAGCCGCGCAATTCCAGCCTCGAAACTGTATGAACATAGATAGATTCAAAAGTAATTCATAGGTATATTTAATCCATAAATAACTAAGAAACTATTTATAAAAAATATAGGAACTAAATATGTATGACTTTACGCATTTTTAAAATTATTATAAACTTATTAGTTTCTCATTAACGAAAATTATACTTCTTCATAGCCTGTCATCGATACGCTAATAAAAATTAG